TGGACGCCATTGTTTTTGCAGTGATAATTTGGCACATTTGGGAAGCCCGAAATGGGGTTCGCGATGAGGAAGAACTACAACACCCACGCCAGATCAGTGAGAAGATAAAGGCCTACACTGACATGATTATGTTGCATACTTTTAGACCGAAGAACTCCAACAGATGTGAGTCCAACTTTTCTACTCCAACATGGCCTCCACCATTGGAGGGTTCGGCAATGCTCAATGTTGACGCGGAAATCTTTTGCCTATACATGCGCATGGGTGTTGGATACATCCTGCATGCCCATGGAGGTAAAGGGCTTTTGGCCGGCAGCTGTTTGTTTCGGCATGGTGATGATCTGTTGCTTGCTAACGCAATTGCGATGCGATGTGTCATCTTAGCCACTCTCGAGAGTGCGCAATGGAGCATTGCCGTCGTGTCTGACTATGCGAGCCTCATCACCAAGATCAACGAGTGCTGCTTTGATCGATCTTTAGTTGGAGCCATGATCTATCACAGCAAGCAGCTGGAGACAAAGTTTACTTCTATCTGATTCTCCCATCAGCGTAGATCCTGTAACAAGGCGGCCAATATGCTTGCTCGTTGGGCGGAGCATTATATTGATGTTGTGTGGGTAAATGATGTCCCGGAGGTGATCCGGAATGTCATTTGTAATGAACTTTGTTTTTGTTGATTAATATTTAAAGCCGTCCTCGCCTAAAAAAAACTCTGCGACCTCTTGGGCATGCAATGGATGAGCTCCCGGTCCATAGATCGGGTGATGGAGGACTTGGATCCACTGTCAGCCATGCCGAAGGAGGCTGGAGATTGCCGGAATGGAGCTTGGCGGTGAAGTGGAGTGGAGTGGCCCGGAGAGCGAATGGTGACGAATATATGTGGATCGGGGTGGGCCAGCGAGGGTCGGATCCGATGTGGCGGAAGCGCTTGGGCCTCCTCATATCCGCCTCAGGTTTGGGCCAGATATGAAGTATGCCGGTTAGCTCGGGCATTTGGGTCAGGTTTTTTCAACTGTCCAGTGCAGTGACCAGGCCGTCAGCCTGGGCGTATAGGAAAGCCTTGGAGAGCCTGGCTGTAGATGTTCTGACCTACCAACTTGGCACTTGTCTTGCACTGTGTTTGTCTCTACCATGTATGCATTACTTCAGATTGCACTGTCGTCGTTCCTCATCTCCCGGATTCCTCATGTAAGCTAGCTAGCTGGCAACTCCAGATCCCAGCTACTAAAGAAGTTCATTTTTTTATGCTAGCTAGCTCTTCTCTTTGGCAGGCACCCATCCTGTCAGGTCCTAGTTTCATGACGGGCATCTAATTTGTTTTCAGTTTCCTTTATCTTTGCTTGCCCTGTCGTTTTAGTTTTATGTACTATTTTTTCTGCTGGATTCCTCATGCAAGTTGGTAACTACAGATCCCATCTAAACAAAATTATTTCGACTTGCAATGCAACAGGATGGAGTCGGGTCCGTGCACGTATTTTTTGGATGCATCCGTCATGTTGCCAGTAACAAAATTAAGGAAGATGCATCTCTTACATTGGGTATCCATGCGTAGTGTAACCAAGCTAGCGTACTGTCAGTGTCAGCTGGCTAGTCCTAATTTCATATTGGGCATCTAACGATCACAGTTTTGGGTACTAGCTAACTAGCTTGACGACAAGGATGCATCCAAGAATTCATCGTAACGATGACATTATATTCGCTGCAGCCTTCGCCGTGCCATCAGCGGTCAAAGCAGGAGGCAATGGCATACCAAGACTTTTTGGTAGAGTGCGTGGGATTTCAATGCGTTCGTGATGGCCAATGCGCTTGCTTTCGTCTGCTCCATGTTCTCCGGCATGTCCATTGTTCAACTGCAATTCCGCCGGGATTACTTCGAGTTTTCCCTGCGCCTCGCCTACAGTTCAGTCACCTGCTTGACTGTTGCATTTGCCCTTGGCGTACGTATGGTGCTGTCTCCCGTAGGTCGTACGGTTTCCAATGCCATATTCGTTATCAGTCCTCTTCTGCTCATCTACCAAAATACATATTTACTTGGAGAAATTATTCTTACTTATAAAGCTTAGTAGAACTAAAACCGAGTATATGATGTGCGGTTTCAGTACTACTAGGTGTGAGGAGGAGGAGGTTAGCCTTGATGGCCAGGTGGTACCTCGGAAGAACACCTTTCGGTATTTGGGGTCAATGTTGCAGGAGGATGGGGGTATTGATGAAGATGTGAACCATCGAATCAAAGCCGGATGGATGAAGTGGCGCCAAGCTTCTGGCATTCTCTGTGACAAGAGAGTGCCACAAAAACTAAAAGGCAAGTTCTACAGGACGGCGGTTCAACCTGCAATGTTGTATGGCGCGGAGTGTTGGCCGACTAAAAGGCGACATGTTCAACAGTTAGGTGTGGCGGAGATGCGTATGTTGAGATGGATGTGTGGCCACACGAGAAAGGATCGAGTCCGGAATGATGATATACGAGATAGAGTTGGGGTAGCACCAATTGAGGAGAAGCTTGTCCAACATCGTTTGAGATGGTTTGGGCATATTCAGCGCAGACCTCCAGAAGCTCCACTGCATAGCGGACGGCTAAAGCGTGCGGAGAATGTCAAGAGAGGGCGGGGTCGACCGAATTTGACATGGGAGGAGTCCGTTAAGAGAGACCTGAAAGATTGGAGTATCGACAAAGAGCTAGCTATGGACAGGGGTGCGTGGAAGCTTGCTATCCATGTGCCAGAGCCATGAGTTGGTTGCGAGATCTTATGGGTTTCACCTCTAGCCTACCCCAACTCGTTTGGGACTAAAGGCTTTGTTGTTGTATAAAGCTTTGTCTGTCAGACGGGGCCGTATATTTCTCTGGCAGTTCGTTACGCGGCGTATCTTTGGGGATGTTCTATTCCAGTTTTGGCCCTTGATAGTTATCTTTAGTTGGGCATCGTCAAGGGAACCTATTCCTTGAAAAAGCGGCAACTGTCTAAAGCCCAGTGTAGAATGGCAACTAGAGAATGGCCTCGTGTCATTTCTTCTATCAATCAGGCAATTCTGCGTTCATGTTATGAAAAGGTTCTAGGAAGCTACTCTTTCGTTTTTCTTTTGACAAAAAGCAAACGCCATTGTATTTCATCCAATAAAACAACAACAACAACTTATATAAACAAGTCTCTCGCTTGTCATATGGCAACTGTGTGGCTTGGTCTTAACCTTGATCTGCAATAAACAACTTTACATCCATGTACTCACTCCGTCCCATAATATGAGATTTCATTATATCCAATATGCGACGGAGTATTTCTTTTGCAGAAAAGCATGACCAGACGCATAATTGTGCTGATGAAGGATCGATGGTAAAAAAAATATTTTTTTTATTTATACGCACTTTTTTTTGCAAGAAAACGTCTGGTCTATTCATCTAATTCAACCATGACTGTACAATAAACAACAGAAATAGTAAAAATTATTATATCCAGATTCATAGACCAGTACACTAACGGACCAGTACAACAACTGCCACCAATGAAAATACACAAACATAGACGAACAACAACCAGATCCGAGCAGATCGATGAAACACAGATCCGCCGGAGACACACCTCCACACGCACGCCCACTAACGATGCTAAACGCACCACCATGATGGGAGCTAGGCAGGGAGAACTTATTCCATCTTCAGGAAGCCGCCACCACCTCGCCTTCCTGAGCAGGACACAAACTCTAACAAAACTCGAAGAAACATCTAAAAACGGAGCCCTTCCGCCGGCAAGGGCCGTGATCCACCGCGCCCCCATGGTCCTAAGGCCACTGTAAACGAGGCAGACCAGCGGCAATGCAGGCGGGAGGCAGAGGAACCCTAATTTTTCTTGGGGAAGCTCAACCCCGCACTGAACCGACCCATCATGCATGCATGTATGGTTGTTCATACGCATCCTTACTTGTGCATGCTCTTTGTAATTTCTGTATATTATGTGTGTATATAATCTTTGCCTACATTAAAAATTCTGTATCAAGTGGGACTCTACAACATGCCAAAAATAAAGGTCCACTTGAAGCTATAAAATTAAGCAAGACTACATGCATTAGTTATATGATTTAAAGAAAATGTGTTCCATTTTGTACTTTTCTCCGGGGCACCAAATTCCTAGAGACGCTCTGCCACAATGTCTCAGGCTATCTCTTTACATTGAGTTACGCTAGAGGCCGGTTTCAGTTGATATCAGGCTGATATTAATATATACTCCCTCCGTTCCTAAATATAAGTCTTTGTAGAGATTTCATTATGTACCACATACGGATATATATAGATGCATTTTGAGTGTAGATTCACTCATTTTGCTTCGTATGTAGTCCATAGTGAAATCTCCACAAAGACTTACATTTAGAAACGGAGAAAGTATATAGTTGCTCTTTATCAACGAAAATGTGAGGCTAGTCCTACTTTCATAGTGCCCACCTAACTATCAACTTCTCGTATGCTATGACAGAGGAACAACCAATTATCATATAGATCAAATGGGTTAGATTCCAGTTTGATCCACATGCCTCTTGTCCTTTTGTTTGTCTTCATTGACATAGATCGGTGGACAAATTGAGAAGCAAATAGCCAAATACAACCAGAAACGACTTATCTTTACTGTGGAGCCTGTGCTTTGATTGATGTGCCCAATAAGATGGGCCTATATATAGTGTCTAGTCTCTTTTCTGTTGGGCGCTTGGTTCTTTTATGTTGTTGGTTGTTGTCTCATCTTCTCTCTAGGAGGAGTTGAAATACAACTAATGGTGTTGCTTTGCATCACAAGAAAAAAGAAAAGTAGTTTCCTAAAACATTTTTAGAACATCAAAGCATGATTGATTGATAAAAGAAATGGCAAAGCTGCCTTATTACAAATGCCCGAAGAACTGGGTTCACGACCCCGCTACTCCTCTAAACTCCACCCTCTGGCCTCTAGTTGCCAATCTGCACTGGCCACTGGGCATTAGACAGTAATAACCACCCTTGATCTATGTTTGATGCCACTTCTTCAAGGGATAGGTTTATTTCCCGCTGATGCGTAAATAAAAAGAGTGAAGGGCCAAAGCTGACTTATAGCCCACAGAGAGATATGGCGTATAAATAGGCAGAATGCGAATTTATGCCCCCGTCTGACAGACAGCGGTTTGTAAGTATGAAAGATTTCTCCGACAGAACCTCCATGCTGCCAGAGCAACAGAGATAAGCTCACCGTGTATATGGCAGGGGCAATTGTACGACCTGCTGGAGCCAGTACTATATGTATGCCAAGGGCAAATGCAATAGTCAAGTAGGTGAGCGAATGTGAGGCGAAAAACGTGGATATCCTGAAGGCAGCTCGCCGGATATCCAGTTTAACCATGGACGTGCTGGAGATCATGAGACAAAGTGTAGCTATTGAGGAGTAGACGAAAGCACCTGCGTTGGCGAGCATGAACACACTGAAATACCAGGCATTGAAAAGTCTTGGATTGTCACCCTTGCTATTGTCGGCTTGTTTGATTGAAGGAGGTACGCTGAAGGCTGCACCAAATGTCACCGTTGTGATGAGTACTGATAAAATGCCAAGTGCCCGGCTCGATTCAGTCACCTCATCTGAGTCTTTTTTCTCTTTTTTCTCTTTTTTCTTATGGTTCGCCTCAACCACTTCTTTTGATTGATTCTCCACATCTTTTAAGTTTGACAACTGATTCTGAATGCAGAGTTGTTGAACATGACCTCTCCAGAAGCTACCATGCCTAGCACCAGCATCGATGAGTGTCCTGTGTATCACGATCTCTGGATTCTGCAAAAAACAACCATTGAGAACATACTAAATGAAACATACTATGTTTTCATTTATGAGATCAGCTATGGATTAATACCTGTCTAAAGTAAAAACTTGTGCGTTTCTTGCTCCTTGCTAGATCCAGCGGAGTCTCATCCTTGTTGTTCCTTACATTTAATAGTACTTTTGGATTCCGCAAGAGATAACAGAAGACGAACAGATCCCCAACCTCCACAGCTACGTGTAGTGCAGTGTAACCATCATTGTCCCGAGCGTTCAGTATCGGCGCAAAAACTCGTTCTTGACAAGCATATTTTACTATACGGTAGACCTTGTTCTTGACCGCAATGTGAAGAAAGGATCTCCCCTGCTTATCACGAAGAGCGATGCAACCACGACACCTTTTGAGGAGAATACCGATGGCAACCTTCCTATCCATCAAGGCAGCGATGTGTACAGGTAACAAACCATTACTGTCATGCTGATATGCTGCGGATGGGTTAGCACCAAGTACCTGCCTTGTTGCATGTTTTTCCAACAGCGACTTGACATTATGGAAACAAAAAAAAAATCTAGGAATGTAATCTTCAGACTGCACCGAAACCAACGAGTGAAGAGGGGTGCAGCCATTTTTGTCCTTGTGTTCGCTAAGATCATTGTTCCAATCTAGTAGCAGTTGTACCATACCTGCAATTAGGCCTGTTAAGTTAGGAAGAGGAACACTACCAAATGCTGGAGGAAAAATAGTTACAAATCCTAACATAAATTTGGAGTTCACCATACGTGGCTGCAAGTTTGAAATGCAAAGCTTTGGTAGGCATTATCGATACTTGTTTTTTCTTGTCTTCTTTTAGCGTTAGTTGTTTGGTTCTTGTCCTTTTGAGCTTTTAGTTGTTTGGACTACAATTGTATTGTGTGTCCTTGATATATTAGTATTGCAAAGGCTGGAGTTTATACTGTATCATATTGAAACATGCATGGATAAGATATACATGAACGAAAAAGCATAATAGCAAACTCCGATTATTTATTAAATTATATATATATAGACCAAAGAAACAAGGGCCTAAACTGTAAACATGAACCTGTCAATCTTGTGGCCTAAATTGTCAAGACAAAACACTATAAAAACTTGGACTACTTGTGGCCTAAAGAAGTTTATATATTGTGTGTGTCTGCAAATTAATTAGATAGGGAGAAAGAAAATTTGTCAAAAAAAATTTATGATATGTCATGAGAAATGTATCTGACCGTATGGATGGTGAACCGCGGCATGCAACGCGTTTTGTCCATCTGGACCGGAGTATGAGAGGTTGCCGCCACTTGTACGGTGCAACATCTTTGCGATGTGCTCTTCACCCAAGGAGACGGCCAGGTATAGCGGCGAGGTGCCAGCTCTGGGATGCAGCGCCAGGTGTGGATCCACCCACATGAGCATCCCGACCATGCACATTGAGTTTGTTCCCAGCCTGATGGCCTCGTGCAAGGCCGTCTCCCGACGACCGTTGAGCTTCCTGAGCACCAGCACCGCGTACTGCGCCTCATGACCATACCCATCGCCGAGCAGACAAAGTAAGTGGAAAAGCATCCTGAGGTTTCCGGACCTGGCGGCGTAGTGCAGTGGTGTGTCGTAGCCATCGTCCTCGTCGATCCAATCGGTCGTCGCGAGGAAGATCTTCTTGGCGCACGTGAAGCAGGAGCTCCCCTCGAAGGCGATGTGCTCGATCTGTTGGGCGAGCGACCCGTCCAGGACCAGGTCCGGCGGCACATCTCCGTCGATGTGGCTATATGTGTCCCAATCCCGCCTGAGATCTTGGAGCATCCCGCAGTGCCCACATGGGGCGGGCAACAGCACCTCATATGGTACTTGCCGATCAATGTATCCGGTGTACTGCCGCCGTCGCTCAAGGAACTCGGCGAAGGTGCCAACTCCTGCTCCACCTCCGCAGCCATACCCCGGCAAAGGATATCCGCTCGGGTAAGGGATTGCCATCACAAGCGATTCTACCTACCTTTAGTGTTGTGTAGTGTGTCAGTGTCTACTCTCTTGTTCAGCTCTAGTAGTGTGTGATATATCTCGATCGGAGCACACGCCTACTTATACCTCATCGATTAGTTGTAGCTTAGTCACCCAAAGGTTAGCTACTCTTACTTACATTGAAATTTGCCCACCTATCCATCACATACATAAAAAATGGTTAAGATTCCAACTTACCACTTGTCTTTGTCTCCAACCACGTCCCTCACTTGTCGTTCAGACTTCAGAGTAAAGCTTGATCCAGATGCCACTTGTTTTCTTTCATATACGCCCGGCACAGAGAGGCGAATTCCAATAAGTTTTCATAACAGGACAGTAGTTCACCCTCCGTCCGGAAATACTTGTCATCAAAATGAATAAAAGGGGATGTATCTAGACGTATTTTTACATCTAGATACATCCCCTTTTATACATCAAGGTAAGAATTATTTGGCCAGCGTTATGTTTTTAGTCATATGTCCTTTGATCCGCATTTTACGAGCGGTCTGCTTCTCCCGTTTTTCTGGTGTTTTCTCCCCGCTACTTGAAATAGGCTTTCACCTCACTTTATAGGGAAAGCAAAACACACGTTACAAAGAAGAAGCCAGGGACATAACCCCGAACAAGTGAACAAGATACAAGGTGCCAAGGAGAACAGCTAACAAAGACTACAAACAGAAAAGATCCAAGCTTAGACACTGCAGATGCCGCCGACCACTGAAATGCTCGCTGATCTAGGAAGAGGCAACAATACGCCACAAGCAGCACCACCACCAACCACGAACTGCTCACAACGACTCAAAAAAGAGACCTATGCCCTTGGAACGACACCTCCAAGAAGGGAGTGGCGCCAAAACGCCGCCACCACCGCTCGGTCTATAAGACCGGACCAAAGTTTTCACCCAGAGCCAAACATGGAGGAGCACACGCACGGTGGCACCTCCAAGGAGGGGAGCGATGCTCGCAAACGTCGCCCTCACCGGCATCGACAGAGTCGAGCAAGGCACATGGAAAGGAATTGAGGCTCCTAGTAATTTGATCAAAAGTGAGTTGAGATCTTCTAGGTAATGGTTGTCCAACAAAAATACCTCACGTCGAAAATCTGAGCGACATCGAAATTTATTACTTACAAGCGATCAGCATTGTGAAACCGAATCAAAATGATATGAAACATCTATCCAATAAGACATAGGAGCACTCACAAGTATAACCCATCAGACTAAGAAGCTAGTTTGAGGAGTATTAGGCATTTTGTGTACTACAAGTAGTATGATGACAAGATTGCTTCTGATCCGATCACCATAGAAGAGATCAAGTCGTTTGGGTATTTATGCGCTCATTATGTTTATATCCCATTGATGATTCATTTTAAGTTAACAAAATTTCCCCTTTGTAGAGCAATAACACCAAATAACAAAGAAAACCAAAAGATGGTCTAAACACATATTCAACACACGAACTGGTATCTATGCCCAGACAACGTTCAACGATCTACATCAGACCCGGGCTCTCCAATCTCATGTACGCGCAGTAAAGCCTCCCGACATCGTCGCAGTGGCAGCATCATGTGCCCTCAGCGCCAACCATTGTAGCATAAATGATATCTCCAGCAGCTTGAAGAACAAAGATGAAGAACAGCACATACTGATCTGCTCCAGTATTTGGGATATTAATTTTTTTTTGTCTCAAAGCAAGCTTTATTGCGAGTTGTCCAAATTGCGCAGCAGAAAGCATCAATCTCCTCCACATGGGATTTTCTTTTTTCAATTTCCGTTAGCTTCGTTTGCAGCTGTCGCCTTTTGTTTTCTGTTTTGTTTGTTTCTACTGGATTCCTCGTGTAGCTTCCAACTCCGATCCAGATTCCAACTAAACAAGTTTATTATTTGATGCATCCATGATGTTGCCAGTGACAAAATTAAGGAAGATGCATCTCTTACGGGCCTTCTATTTGGCAGGCACCCATGTGTAGTCAGTGTAAACCCACATCTCTCAAACTAAGTTGCTAGTTGCTAGAGGTTTCATTAGGCTAGTATGATGACAAGGACGCATCCCATCATCGCATAGATCGAGTCGTTTGGGTGGCACTGGATATGTAAGCAAGCAAGCAGCCGAGACCTAACCACAATATTCAACTAGCGAACTGGATCAAGATCTTGTCTTTCACTTCCCATCCCAGGCACCTCGGTGATCAAATTGACACATTTGAAATAGAAATACACACCTTTATGCTGATGACCTGCTGTTCGTAAATTTCAGAGTGTCTCATTAGATGGAGCAAATACGAAAGTGCCCTTCTACACCCGAGCTCAAACAAGCTCATGGTGAACAGTGACTCAGAAAACAATTAAAAAATGTTCAAAAAGTCTGAGGAGACATTTGTTTCAGGATTTTCGGTGATGCTCATTTAGTGGGAGGAGACATTCCCGTCGACGACGAGGTGCCTACGATGAGTAAGTAAATTTCAAGATGATATGCCGGTGTGCGTGTGTGCGTTCATAGGGGTGAGTGTATGCGCATGTATATGTGCGCTTGCAATTTGTACTATGTTCAAAAAAAGATTAAAGAGAAGTGTGAATTGATAAGCACAAACACATTTAATTCTACAGACTGAGCAAACAAACCCTAAAAATGCAAAAAAAAATATATACTCGATTGATAAAAAATTTGAAGGTCAAATTTGCAATAAAAATATAAGCTCTCTCTCAATCCTGCGCTTCCCCTTCGAAACTTGGATTCTTCTCCCATATGATTTGTGCCCATCCATCTAACAATTTCGACTAGATTGTTTGCATTGTCGTGTTGTATTCTTTCTTTTCTGCTGGATTCTTCATGCAAGTTGGCAATTCCAGACCTAGCTAGGTTATCTTGCCATGCAGCAGCAGTCGGCTACATGCATGTTACACTCCATATACAAATTGACACGGAGGACCCGTATTTTGGATGCATCCATGAAGCTGCCAACGACAAAATTAAGGGAAAAAGCATCTCTTATAGGTATGCAGTAAATATCACAGACTCCATGTGTCCTGCGAGGTGCGAGTCCGAGGGTTTGTACTGATTAATTTTGTATTAAAAAATTGCTCACTTCGGGTTTTTTTTGTCACTTCGGTTGTCCAACAAAAATAGGTCACATCGAAAGATTGGGCGACGTGGAGAATATAAGTGCTTACAAGCGAGCGAATGAAAATGATATGAAACATGTATCATAAAAACATGGGCACCCATGTGTATCAGCTTTGCTTGCAGCTGTCGTTTTCTGTCTGTTAATTACTCCCTCCGTTGCAAAATAGATGACTCAACTTTGCACTAACTTTATAGTTTCCCACTGGATTACTTGTGCAGCTGCCCAGATCCCAGCTACTAAGCAAGTTTATTTTGGGATGCATCCATGGTGTTTCCACTTGGCAGTGACAAAATTGAGGAAGATGCATCGGTTACTACATTAGAGGTCTTGTCCATGTGTAGTGTAAACCCATCTCTCTCAGACAAAGTTGCTAGTAGCCTGAGGTATCTTTAGGCTAGTCCTAGTTTTATAATATGGCCGATCTAACGACCACAGTTTTGGGTACCACTGTAGCTAGTATGACGACAGGGATGCATCCAATCATCTTGTGGATCCAGTCGTTTGTCTGCCTCGAATCGAGCGACAAAGAAAGCAAGCAGACAGCCGAGAGCTAACACAGGACTGCTGCTGCCGGTGGGACAAGCAACTGCAAGCCCCGGACTCTCTGCCGGCTTTGGCGTCGCCGCCGGCCCTATGAGTTTCGGTGCGTCGCTGGCTTCAAGCTCCAACGCTCCTCCTTCCATCCAGCGGGTCACGGCCTCGGCACCGCCGCGGTCATTTTCGGTGCCGCCAACCAGCCTGCCCCCGAGGGGCCCCCCTGCTCGCCGCCACAAGAACAAGCGCAAGGGGGGACGTCATGATGCCGCTTCTGCCGGTGGCGTCCCTCCGGCTGCGCGCCCTTCGCCGACGTTCCTGCCTCCAGCGTGGTGGCCGATCCGGATGCTCAGAATCAAGATTCCCGCGACATCAATACAGTGGCTTTGGCCACTGTTGACGCTACTGGACATGTGCCGAAGAATAAAAAAACTGACCTTTGGTGTTTCAAATGCAGAACAAAAGATCATCTCTCCAAATATTGCACGGTCATTCACTACTGTCACATTTGCAACAATAACAAGCACCCGTTGCATCATTGCACTGTTCTCAAGCAACAAGGCCTACTGCATCGCTCGGTGGATGCGGTTTGGTTAACGCAATGTTCGTGCAGTTATCGGACTCGTTGTTCAAGGAGCATCTTGTGCCACCAACTTTGCCAACTGCATTGGTTATGATTTCTGGTGGTTCTTTATCAGCTGCAGTAGTGGAGGCCGAGGTCGCTAAGATCGCCTCGGTCCAGATCGACCTCATGGAAGTGGAAAGCTGTCCCTCATGGAGCCAATACTTTCTTAGTTTCCTTCCCGTCCTTGGAGATTTTGCAGCGTGTGGAAGCTTTTGAGTACAATGTAAAATCCCATGACGTGAAGATTGCTTTTAGTGAATGGAAAGTTGAGGAGGCTCCATCTCTACTTCCTCTGCAGCCAGTTTGGGTTCATGTCACAGGTGTCCCGCCACCTCTCCGCCATTTCGTTGGTCTGTGGGCAATAGGATCAGTTATTGGTGCCACGTAGGATGTTGACTTAGTTTCCTTGCGCCGCCATGCAGTGGCGGAGCCAGGATTGAAGCAAGCCCCGGGCCCCAAAAAATTTTACCTCCAGCAAACTTAATATCCATAAGGCTTTTAGCTACGTCAAAAAATAACCCAAACAAAATATAGCTTAATTGTGTGAAATATTTAGAATTTAAACCAATGCTTAACAATAAAAATAAATAAAAACATGAAAAAACTATGAAGAACAGTATGTGATATAAAAGAGTACCAAATCAATGGTTTGCTTCATCAGTGTGTTGCATAACCTCATCAACGGTGAAAGAA